ATCTCAAATCTGCATACCGCTCAGTGAAATCATCCATCAACTATCAGGCAACAGGACTGAGTGGACTTTTACTGGAGAGGATCACCCCACCTATCTCTATGATACTCGCCTCCCGTTCGGTGCCAAGCTGGCACCGAGTATTTTTCACCGCTGACCCAAAGTGTCCGCCGGATGATGGCCCGCCGCGGTTACGATGCAATGGTGGTGTATTTAGATGACTTCCTCATCATTGCACCAGACTATAAAACTGCATGGAAGGCCTCAATTCCCTTATTAGATTGCTTAGGCAACTTGGTTTTTGCATTGCTTGGAGCAAAGTCGAAGGCCCATCTCAACGCATGACTTTTCTCGGGATTGAAATTGATACAAATATGCTCACTGTGCGCCTGCCCCCGAAAAAGCTTAATGAACTGCAAGATCTCGTCAGATCTTATTCTGCAAAGAAACGCGCAAGCCGCCGCCAGCTGGAGACCCTCGCAGGTAAACTTGCCTGGGCATGCAGAGTGATAAAAGGAGGTAGAACTTACCTCCGACGCATCCTCGACCAGCTTCACAAATTACGCTGCCCGTCACACAAGCTGCTTTTGTCTTCGGACTTCCATCGCGACATCCAATGGTGGTTAGAATGCCTTCCCCTGTTCAATGGTGCTACTAAGTTCATCGACCCCCGCCCCATTACTGATGTCCATATGGATGCCTCTAATCAAGCATTGATTTGTCTTGAGTTTATCTTTGGAACGTATAGGCACACAGATACTATATTAAACTGAACGAAGAAAATTGTTGGACTATAGCAACTATAGGAACGTTCAGCTACACCACACTTGCAACTACCGCACCTAGTAAACTGCAGTACAACACAGAACGTCTTGCAACCCCCGCACTAAAAATATGCCATGTCATGTTTCATGTCGATAGCCCGGGGTTCTATAGTCTGAGGGTTCAATGGCAGGAGGGGTTAAATTGTGAATTAATTGCTCTAGTGAGAATCCTGGTGAATTTCTGCCTTCGTTATTAGGAATACCGTAGTATAGATTCGAGTATACATGTTCACACAAAACAGCTACGAGGAACAATCCGTTCTTATTATATTTCAATATGCACCATACATGTGAAGGTCACTTGTGCACAGATAAACTAGTCAACCTAATATAAAAGATAAGATAAATATAAACCGAGATAACACGGTAATAACAACATACCTTTAGTTGCAATAGGCGTGCATGAGTTGAAACTTGTTCAGTCAGCTGTTTCTGAAAGGTCAACCGTCAGGGTGCGCTGGTCAGTTGACCCTAAATCACTGAGCGTTGCTTTAATACTGGGGTTACATGATGATGAGTGGTGATGACATCTCGGTGAGCACAGAGCCACCCGAAAAAGAGTCACAGAAAAAACATAAAATACAGTCACGGTTAAAAAGTCACTGAGAAATAACTGAGTTGAAACAATTGCGAAATCAAAGAAAGCTTAGAAAGAACTCCCATGTGCTGAGAGTATTGGAGACACATTAAATTTAATTCGAAATTACTTAGCTGAAAACTAATTATGCAAATCAGAAAATTAATATGAACAGATTTGAGTGTAAAACTAATGAGGTCTGCGCAATGTAACAGAAAATCTATGTTTCCAAGTTTAATTGAAATGTGATTAGAACCAAAAAATTATGAATTATTATGCTTATTAGGGAATTAATATGAACAGATTTTTACCCCAAACTAATTAGGTTTGTACATTGTCCTAGAGCATCTTTGTACTAAGTTTCATTGAAATGGAATAATTAGTACTTTAGATATCAGTGTGAAAGCTTAAAATTGGTTAATTATGCAAATTAGGTAATTACTATGTACAGATTTTCGCCCACAATTATCCAGGTGTGTCTATTGTCCTACAGCATCCATGTACATTCATTGATATGTGATGTTTAGTACCTGAGATATCAGTGTGAAAGTTGGTTAATTATGCAAATTAGGTGATTAATATGCACAAATATTTACCGGAAACTAATTGGGTCTGCATAATTCTAGATTCATTGAAATGTGATGATTAGTACTTTAGATATCAGTAGAAAAGCTGAAAATTAATTATGCAAATTAGTTAATTAATATGCACAATTATTTGCCCTAAAACTAATC